GCAGGATTGGGGGCAGGATTGAGGGCAGGTGCATGGAATCAGCCAAAATGTGAAAGAGCCGGAGCGCCCTTAAGAGGAGGGATTATGATCATGACAGAGCCCTTCCTGGCTGCTCGTAACCACAGCAAAGTTCTCAACTCACAGCATTATTCAAGAGGTGATATATATAAGTGTATATTCAGTTTTACTAATTTATTTTTTTGTTCATTTTAAAATGTTCTAAACTGTTATTCCAGACATTTTCTTTAGCTAAATTGTGATGGTAGATATATATGTGTGAAAGGGAAATATTGTATTATCATATTTTTTTCTTAATACTGGAAAATATCTTTATTTTAACTACAAAGTAAAAATGATTGCACATGAATAGCATTATTTTATTCTTCTGTGAATTTAAGATTTCTGGGGTTCTAAGAACTACTTAAACTACTCACAGCATAATCAGAATTCATAAGAAGCTTATTGTAGACTTGTACTTCCAAGAATCCAAGTTAAAGCTTATTTGATTATTTTAATTTAGAACGCACAAGATTAGTTTATTCTGTGTTTGTTTCTTCATAGGTGCTACCTTACTGAATCATACAACATATCTCTCTATTATTTATTTTATTTCTGTTTATTTTTAAAATAACTAGCAGAGACTTCTTATACTTCAAGAAGCGTGAGTGAACATGACATCTAGTAGACAAATAAAGGAGATATTGGAGTTTTTACAGACAAAATAATAAGTTCAAGTTATTTGTCTTTTGTTCTTGTTGTTAACCAAAACAGTAAACTCATCCACTAAAAAGACTGACGCAAGTATGAAATCAGATAAATACAATAAATATCTATTGTTGATCTAAATCCGTGTTACTGTAGGAAACCAAATTATGAGTTTACGACGACAATAATAATGTCTATTAAACTTGTGATCCTCTTGTAACGAACAGTTCTTTCCGGACCCTATGCGGACGACACAATCCGACGGAGTGGGGAAACACTAGGGAAACGTCATGCAGGAAAACAGGGCTGAAGACAGGGGGGCGTGACCACGGTGCACTGGTGCACGGGGGAGGTGTGGCTGAGGCGAACAATCCGAGAGAGTAGTCCTTAGGGAATATCCAAAACACACGAGTGTCCAAAACCAGAAGATCCATCAGAACAAGAATTAAAAACCACGAAGGCCGGGTCGGAACCGGCGGACGGGGAACAGGAACGGGAACAGAGGTTAAAACCTTAACGGGACCAGGCGCTTCCAGGTCCCGGACTCGCACGATATGGAAATCAGGTGCAGAGCCCGGATGAGCGTCAGCGCCTGGCTTTTAAGGTGGGCTGGGAATAGGGAGCAGGTGCATAGAATAAAGTCTTGAGTGATAGGGCTGGAGCACCCTTAAGGAGGGGGAACTAATATCGTGACACCTCTCACATGTCAGAGACAATAAGACTAGGGGTCGGGATTTCTACAGGGCTGGAAAAATGGTGTTAGGGATCACTCAGCTGACACAGCATCAGCTTTCTTTGTTGTGCCTAACCATGAAACCTGTGCTACTGTACAAAGTGGCTTCTTCAGAGCAATAGAATGTTCAGTCATGCTAAAAGTCCTTTCAAAGCCTCATTGTACATTACAAAGCCCTGGGAAACAGAAAGATATTGAGCATTAGGACACCTTAAAGAAAATTTTAATTAATTACATAATTATCTCATTTGCCTGAATCATTCACTGCCCTTTCTGCGGAACTCACATGCCCAATCTGCAGAAATCATACAAGCAAAGTTCATCTTCTGCAACACAAAGAACAACGTTACACAAAGATGGAAACCAAATCCAGATGCTAGAAAAATATTTAAAAAACAACAATGTTCGTTACATACAACAGCAGAAATAGAAAACTCCTCAAAGGTGTGCTAGATGACATTGTAAAACATGAACCAACCGTTTAGCACTGTAAAATGTGGTATGCTGTGGTTTATCTAGATTTTGAGAAACCACAGTTCCATGTTCTTCATAAAAATGAATTCAAGTTGGAGGCATTCAAGGTTGCTTGGATTATGAATTTGTTTATGGCCTGATAGCAAGATAATTGGTAAATGCTCAAATATAATTATATATTGTGGTTTTAGGATCACCTCTATATCATCAATGATATAGGCTCTGACAAGGTTAACAATGTAGTCTAGTTCACAAGTGACATAAAAGCTTAGAGGATTAGGAAACTGCGTAGAGGGTGTAAAAATTCAAAAAGACTCAGATAAATTTCAGGACTGGGCAAACCTGTTGCATGCAGATACTAAAAAACACAATATACTGTACAGTACTAATATACAATGTGAAACAAAGTTTGAAGAGGCTCCTTATGAGAAAAACCTAGATGATTATGTAGACAGAATATTTTCATCTTCTAGACACTGGCGGGAAGCAATAAAAATTATAAACAAGAAAATATAGTTAAAACTCCAGAATTCAAATCAAGGGATGTATGCTCTCCATTCCTCCTCTTTTACTGGGCTTTATGTACCATCTCTCTTTTCTTCCACTTCTAGACCTCCATCTTTTCCATGCACAGGTGACAGCTGAGCGCTTCCCACATAACATCAATGTAACGCACTGATGTTATGTGGGGAAACCCAACGCCATAGCAACCTGGGCTACAGCCATGGTATGGGCACAGTGCTGGTGAGGCCTGTGAAAGAGGTGGCCTGGACCCAGGGCAGACTGAGGCCATGTGCTCCCACTCTTGGGGCTGAGCGAGTGTCAGAGTCTGGGGTGGGTGTTACCGGAACAGTGAACATAAGGACTAAGGGAAACAATGAAAATAGCCTGGAGCCGCAGGCACACTGAGTTGCACGCTCTACCAGAAAAGGAGAAAGGGGGGGGGGGGTGAGGGAGAGAGCAGGATTAGGAGAAGAGGAAGGAAGGAGGAAGGGACCCTGCAGCTGTGGTTGATCAGTGTTCCAGCCAGTGTTGACGACAGGAGGACAACTGAAAGAAAAGAGCAGAGACAGCATAGCAGGTGCAGAGAGATGGTTGTTTTCCATGGAGAATTAGAGGGTGAAGAGCTGCTTTTTCAGGGACAGTTGAGCAAGCAAGATTAGCAATTCTACATGCAAGATTAAAATTTGACTTCCTCCCAAACTTAAATGTTAGATAATAACATTTTGCTTCATGCAAAATGCAACATCGAAAGGCTTTTAAAAGTTGTTTTGAATAATGTGAACGTTAAACACATTTCCTAAGAATGTAATGTATTCAGAAAGTTATTGATCAACGTGCCCAACTATGTACCTATCATGTGTGTCATTTTGTGTGCAGTGGCTAGTGTTGCTACTTCACAGCACTGGGGTCCTGTTTTCAATTCTGGAAAGCTGTCTGTGTGGAGTTTACATGTTCTCCCTGTGATCGCATAGGTTTCCTCCTACAGTCCCAAGACATGCTGGTAGGTTAATTGGCTTTTGGGAAAACTGGCCCTAGTGTGTGCTTTTGTATCTGTGTGTTCCCTGCATCGGACTGGCCTAACCTGTTACTGTACAATCCGGGGTGCATCCTGAATGGCACATATTGTTTGCTAGGATAGGTTCTGGCTCTTTTCCAACCCTGTATTGGATAAAATGGATTGATCTGTCATTTGTGACCATGTAGTAACATCATAGGTCACATGAAATACATCAAACTCCAGGGGGACAATGTAGATGAACCAAATGCTCTGGAAGGTTGAGAAAGCATACAAATTCCACACCGAGATCCCTGGAATTGAACCAACAACTTTAGATTTGTGAAGGAGCAGCTCTGGCTCCTCAACACGACACGCATGCCTGACTATTATCCTGTTTAACTTTAAAAGTACAGGAATTATTTTCTTCTAACCTAGTCCTCTTTGCTATAAAGATGATGTGAATGGTTTTGTCAACTGTTTTAAATATTCAGTACTCACGGAGTAGGTGGCACTCTGAACAAAAGTATGACCTTTTCATTTTAGATGTATTTTTGGTCACAAAATCAGAAAAATAATTCTCATTAACCTTTACAGTTTTTAATGAGGCAATTTGCAAAAGCAGCTGCATACCACAATTAATGTGTAAATAATCTGTTAATTGTGTCTGAAGACCTTTCCCATTTAGTCATATATTTTAAACTGTTGTTCTGCTTAGTAAATGATTTTAATCTTAAAACTGTCACAAACCTCTTTTCTCTGCCAGCCAGTAGACAGATGAATCATTATGTTTTTTGATGCAGTTCCACTATCAACGGAAGTGTAGGGGGAACTATTGTTAACTACACTCAATACAATTTGTTCACCTTAACTTGTGACTGTGCTTTCTGCTTCAGCAGGAGGAAAACATATTGTTAGCTGCTAAGCAAACAGATGTTTGCTGTCAAACTTAACTAAGCAATTTAACATAAGCTCTTTGTGCAGAATGTCAGTATTTGATTATGGAGTTAATTGTGCAGCAAATATATAAAAATGGAAAAGAGGCCAGCCTACATATATTTCTGTCTCGTGTAATACTATACAAAATGACAGAGGAAATGACTGGCTCCGAGTACCTATTCAGCCCTTCGGAAATAATGCAAAGATCAGTTGGAAATTAGTCCTCCACAATCGCCACTGCATTGCGCTAAACGAGAACCCGTTCTCATTGTTCCATCTGTGAGTGCTGTCAGACACGAGTGCAGCTGAAGAATCAGTCATGCAAAATGAATCAAGATGATGGTTAAAAGCTCTTCAAGATAAAATGGGCTAAATGTAAGACCTTGTATTTGTGGTTCTGGCTTTCTTCCATATTCAGATATGGATGTTCTTCAGCACATTTTTTCCTACTAAGGTTTCAATCGTTCCTCTCTGTTCCAGCATGGAACTCCAATGGGTTATTTTGTACCAGTGGAGAGACAATCAAATTTGGAAGAGGTTAGTAGACTCAGTGTAAATAATAAAGACATTGGAGGAGGTTACAAAAGAGAAGAACAACAGGGAAGCCTTTCTTTTGGTATTTTTTAGAACAAATCTGGGCTACGGTCCATAGCAGCTTCTATCACGTCTCTTTTCTACCAGTTTATACCTGAACATTTAATTTGTCAGTGACCTTATGGTGCACAAATACTAACCGTATTCTGAAACCAGTCGCAATGGAAATTATTGTGATGAGGTGACATTCAAGAATATTCTCAGTGACACAGTTGTTTAATGTCAACCTGACAGAGGTTTTAATGACTTATTTTAAAACCCACTAACATCAGGCAACAAACATTGGAGAAAGTAACATAAAACTACAGTGAAATAGTTTCAAGTGGAACTTGGCACATACAGTAACAGGAACTGTTTGACCATACCACATATGTTCACTCCCTACCCAACCCCCTTGCAACATACATAATGTATATACACCATAACTAAAGGTCAGATATGGTCCTGTTTACATAACATACATTGAATGTTTTTTGTAGGAACAACACTTTGGGTCACAACATACTCTAGTTACATAGATGCCCTGGGACTGTGGACATCTTCTTAAGCTGTTCATGTATTCTTTTTTACAATAAAATCTTCAAGTTCTTAAACTTATCAAAATAAAAAAAAACAAATATCTACAAAAACGAGTGCAAGAATATACATTTTGTTCTAAGGCAATAGTTGTTGTTCCACAGGACTAGTGCTGTCAATGCGATGACACTTTGAGTCTTTGTTCTTCGGCTGCAGCCAGTCGTCATTCCACATTCATACATGATTTTGCAGGTTGTTGGCTTATTAAATCAAAAAGTTGTTTATACATGGAATAGCACCATAGGAAATCCCTTCGACAGCAACTGTCCTTTCTCAACATGCTTAGTTTCAGACATCCAAAAACTATATCCTTTAGGCAACTGTACAAAACACAATCCCAAACATTTCGTTTAACTCTGATCTCGAAGCAGATGGATAGTGACATTTCTTCAGTGTTCCATTGTTAATCTTCTGTAATAGCCAAGCCACTAGCGCAAAGTTAATTAATTTAGGATGGTTTGTTTTTTTTTGTCACCAAGGCTAATGTCTTTAATAGATTAACATGGTCCCTGCCATGGAGAACACAATATATAGATATTACAAGCCTCTAACTTCCTATAAGTTTTAAGTGCATAAAAAGAGCATGATATTATGGTAGCAAATTGATATAGAATGGATGGACACCTTTGCAACAAACAGGATCCAATGCTTCCATTTTTTTCTTTTTTTTCACTGTGATTGACATGTGCACAAATCCGAAGCAATTGAAAGAGTGCATATCACACTCTCCTAGACTCACGTTAATGCATGCACCCATTCAATGTTACATTAATAATAATAACAATAACAACAGTTTTAGTTGCAAAAGACAGTTCAGTAAACAACGTATTGGGCATCAAAGGCAAAACTGATAGTGTTGAATAATAATTCAAACAACTGAAACATCACATTTGCCTAAAGCAGCTATTCATAAATACTGATTTCACAACCAAAAATGCCTTGATCTTTCATATTTATAAATAATATTGTTTTAGTTATTAATTCAAAGAAGATTCAGCTTGGCGGACACCTATCCATTGGTAAGCCACTCTTCCTGGTGAGGACTGCAGTATGCTGGAGCCTTTCCTGGAAGGCAGAGCACAAGGCAGGACAGGGACAGGGGACACACAGCTGCTCTCCCGTCAGTTTGGATACCAGTCCATTGCTGGGCCACAGAGGAAGGAACAAGGTAGCAGCCAATCAGATACAGACAGCATGATGCTTGGAAAGTGAGTGAAAACCAGAGGAACATGCAAATACTATAAAAACAGGTGCCCCAAGCGGCATTGAAACCCAGGACCCTGGAGCTGGACCGTAATGCGTACAATCCTACCATGGTATCACCCTTTTGATAAAAGTTCTACCAGATATTTAGAAGATAGCATTGTCGCATTCTGAACGTCCTGCAGCAAACTAATCACTGGCATGCTACTGGATTACTTCCCAGTTTATAATCAATGGCAACACCACCTTAAAAACCTAAAGATCTACTAATCCAATATTTTATGGTTTTGTTCTGCTCAAGATCTCAAGACAAAATATACCCTCAAAACAAATTTATTTGGTAAGCTTTTGCCGGAGAGAGCAAAGTGAAATTCTATGTGCTCGCAAAAAAAAAATCCAAGAGAAACGCTCATATCTTTTGGAAGAATAAAGAAATATTACAAATACAGTAAAAAAATAAAGTCCTCAGTGGTTTATTTTAAAATACGTGTAACTGTAATGTTTCTTTCACTATTAGATTGTGCACTTCATCACATGACCCAAATCCAATCCAATACTTGCAACTGACAGTCAATGGTGTTCAGAATTTTGTGCAGAAAGTACAAATTTATTGGCCTGAAAATAGCATGGAGCTTAGCCACTTCACATGGTCCCTTTTCAATGTCTTTCTTGCTACTGAAATCTTGAGGCATCAAATTCTTCTACTGATCACCGACTGCACCATTTTGAGTTCAGGATATGCACTGATGCCACTTTCTCAATGCCTTGATTGCATTCATCTTTGATGACCTCCTGTACATGGAATAAACCAGTTTTATTCAGTTTTTATTTGTTTCAGATGTTTTTCTTTCCACCAATAGAAAGATTATTTTATTTAAAAATATATTATTCATGGTGAGGTTTTCAGCTTATTTTTTGGTGTGGAGAGCCTCCTGAAACTTTGTACTTGTGTATCGTATATGAAATCCTTTCTTGCTGATGGTGTCATCCGTGTGGAAGTGAATTAATATAGTTTCTCTAGCAGAGTAGATTTCCTCTCTGGGCTGCAAAAAAACAAATGCAATAATTTAACAACCTTTCCACACCAAAAATACATAGGTTATTTATGAAGTTTTTGTTTTGTTTACTGCATGATGGTCTAACTTTGAAAAGTCCTTGTAATGTTTCATATTTAATTCTCAGAGCTTTGTAAGTAACTCTCATCTCTGTAAACAACCCTCACCTGTATTGCACAACAGAGTTCTGTCAATCTTGTCAATTTTGTGACAAATGTTGTCAATTTGTGATGTAGCAGAAAAAAACCTTTGCAAGTTACAGTATGTGTTTATGTTAGTGATCATGTCTGGAAGCAGAACAATACTAATGGAATTCAGTAGAATCTGGTAAACCTCCCCTACCTACTGCTTTCTATAACCCTCTTTCATCTTCCATAGACTTTTTACACTTCAAAACTATTGTTCCAAGTCTCATGTGACAACCCAAATAAGACGTAAACCTATGACACAATCAATGTTTAGGGAAAAATAAAAACACACAAGAGTGTTGACCACTGTATATATATATTCATACTTAACCTAACACTTAATGAAAAGATGATTTATAAATCTGGTCATTATATGTTATAGTCATTAAGGCCTTACCCCTGATCCACAGAATCGCCCCCGTGTCTGAGATGTGCTGCCAAACCCATCAAACACTTCAATGTAGTCGTAACCGCAGTCTGCTTCTTCTTCCACTTCAAAAGTCTGAAAAGTGAGTTCAATTCCATAGCCGTTCTCTGCTGTTATCACCCATTCGCAGTCAGTATGTCCTGGGTAATTGTTGTCTCCAAACTGTGCATGGGAGTATAGGTTTTTCTGTCTCGTCTCTGCTCGCAGTCTTCCTCCACATTCTGTTTAAGAACACAAAAAATACGGAAGGAGTACACTTCATGCCAGCATTGAAAGAAAGTCATTGTTTCTACTGTTGTTTCTTGAGTAGTAAAATGGAAAATTCTATCTAAAAATATAAAATCTTGGTTTCAGTTCAAGTCCGCTGCACAATTTTCAGACTAAGGGAAAAATCCAAATATTTCTGTCCAGCAAGGAAACTCCTGGAAAATGTGTAACAAGTCACGAGATTGTCTGGTTCTTTCAAGACGGGTACTTTGAAAGAAAGCAGAAGAGGAGTTTGTTGTAAGTGGTTCACAAGGGTTGGAGAAAGCAGAATAACAATAGTCAACAGGTAAAATTGAAGGACAGCAAAGGCAAAATGCAACAGAGATCTGCGAAAGCCCAAATTTTAGCATTCATTTTTTGCTTTGTAGATGCCAGCTATTCTGAATTCCACATCAAATATCACCACATATAAGTAAGTAGTTAATCAGTGCTTTAAAAATGTGATATGAAAGTGAGATTAAAATATTTCTTACAATCAACCCCCTGTGGAGAATGATTACTAAAGACTAGTTTGTAATGAAGGATAGTGTTATGGGCAGATTACGTTTGTCTGAAATAATCAGTCTCTCGCTGAAAGGAAAAAGAAAACTGCAACCAGTGTACTTTGTTGAATACGACTGAATTGATATATATATAGGGACCCAATTCTAAAGTTGAGTAATATAGAACCAAAATTATGTGCATCTATGTGTACTGATGAGGTGCGATATTTTGAGGAAAGAGTGTTTATAGTAAAATGCCCGTAGAAGATATCCACCAAAGTATTTTGAAGGTAAAAGTCATTCCTATGCAAAAATATTCAAATGTCCAGATAATGTTTAATTGTTATGGGTCAAATAATAACAAAATACAATAACAGTAAGAAATCATAGTTTTATATCAATGTACCACTGTAATGAAATCAGGTTTGTCCCCATTAAATGTGTTCTTTCTAAACAGTCAAGTGTACTGTACTGTTATAATCTGATAATATACTGAAATACTGTAGATTCAGAACAACTGCAGCACAAATTTGCTGTAGTAACAAGTAGCAAGGATATGTATCCAAGCCTGTTGCTATCTAAAGGTTCTAACACTGCAATTAAAAATAGCTGCCAAGAGAATATCTTGGCTCCTGATGAAGATTACTTTAAAAGCCACAATCAAACCAGATTACATTTTCGGGATACAGAAGGTTAGGTTTGATTGTATCATTATTCTCTTCCTGATTGCTTCAATACTATCTTCTAAGAAGAAAGAAATCACATTATGACAGGAAAACAAACACGATGAAGATTTTGTTCTTCTACAATCACAGATTTTTAGTTCTTAGTTCTGGCATTACAAGGAAAAGGGTGTCAAAACCAACAAAACACAACCAAAATATACTACAATTGTTGATTCTTGTTGATATATATTCCATATGTAATTTGCACACAACACAAACATGGATTTGTTAGTATGCATTAGTGTACACAATTATGGGGCCACTTAAAAATATTGCTGATATTCTGGAAAGAACTGAAAACTGTAATATCCTCACCATGAGACATGAGATTACTATTCATCTGGATATAACATACAGTCTTTTAGTATCCCTAATGTTTCATGAGTGGAAAAAAGATATTTCCCTATCAGTGAGAAAGCTGTAAGCTGCTTTCAGGACTAACTACAATATGAAAATCAAGGACAAGACAACAGCTGATGACTGGACATTCATCTAGTGAGTCTTTAAAAAACTGGAGGATAGAGGAGAAGTCTGTGGTAGCTGAGTAACTTTGACCTGAAAGTACGAGGCAAAAGATTATCATATTCATTATGTAATGTATTCTTGGGAATAAGCTGCAGTTAAAGTCAATCTTTCACACTCTACAGTACAGACTGCATTTAGTGCTTACAGAAATTGAATGTCACAAAGAGAGAAATACAAAAAAAGAATAGCAGCTATTTAAAAGCTCAAGGCTAACCGCCAGCTACCTGCTGTGTTTAATGCCAAATCAAATCTTTCCATATGTAAGAAAAAGTACAGAGATGTTTTCAAGAGATTTTTGTTTTTACTTTTACAGCAATAATATGCAGTATGCTGTCGTGCTTATTATTTAGGATGATAGGGTTTTAATGAGCAAGCAATAGTAATTTTTAAGGCAAATCAGTCTGTTATACCTACAGTCTGAGCAGTAATCCATTTTTTAACTATTATCCTATCCTAGAGTGATTTGCTGCAAATGGTTCTGAATGGGGAGCTTCATCTGTATGCAAAGGTTGCAAAGGTGTAAGTGTAAACTCCATGTTACAACAGAAAAGAAGAAGCACAATATGTATTACTGTATATACACCCCACATATGAAGATAAAAAAATAAACATATTTGGAATATAAAGGAACAGATAAAGAAAGGTTTATTCCATGCTGACAGGAAAAGAAACAATTCGGCTGTGGAGCCTTCTTCAATATTTGGAATATTTTAACAAGAGTATAATACTTTGTTTATAGCACTGCCACTAGGTGGCAATAGAATCCTTTATGTATGAGGAAATCTCTTTGTTTTATTGGTGGTAAGAGTTTTGTAGACAACAACAAGTAGAGAGCTGCGTCAGCATGCATAGGCTGCAAAGGAACAGGTAAAGGTTTATTCCCTGCTGAAAGGAAAAGAAGAGACACAACGTTTCGGCTCTGGAGCCTTCCTCAGGACACTTGTTCCTTCGCAAAAAAATATTCTTTACATACAGTACATGTAGAAAATGACAACTAAACCTCATAAAAAGAAGACAATGATGTGGTTCTTCCACACCAGGAAATCATTAAGAATTTATCAGATTCTTACACGTGTTCAAAGAGTTGCTATAGATTTCAGAAAGTAGGAGGTCTACACCACAGCAACACACATGTACAAACACATTGCCCTCATTAAACAGTTATATATCACACTTTCTACATGGTAACTGACCTGTAGAATGGGTGGCCTGAAAGCCTTTCCTTTGTACCGAAGCATCCGAAATAAACTTGAGGTACATTTTATTGCCAGTTGAAATAACAGGATCTGGTGTCTTGCTGCCACACAGCCTTCTGAGAATTGCAGCTTTGGCACTGTCCCCGTCAAACACCTCCAGATGGTCATAGGCACATTCTTGATGTTGCTCAATCTCAAACTCATTAAAGCTCTGAAATGGAAAGACAGATTTCAGTGTCATTTATATTTACTTTTTGCATTTCCCTCTTTCTTGGAATATCATTAAAAGTGGGCGAATGCTTTAGTAAGGCACCATATGAATGCATTCGTCTGTTCATTTTTTATTAAAACACAGGAGAACAATTTTTTTACTTTCCTTTACTCTACACCTAATCAGCATCATCTGGCACCATTATAATGAAGGCTAATGGTTTATCATGGAGAGGTATAATGAAATAATGCAATCATCATAATAAATCTGCTCAGAACTGCACAGTAGAATAGAGGTTTAAAGATAATAATGTAAAGGTGGATTAATATTTTATATATGATTTATTTCAAAAGAGTTGTGTATTAAAGTAGCAAATCAGTATGATTGATAACATATGTACTGTGTGTATTAATACAGTACTGGGCAATCAAAAAGTTTGTTTGAAATTCAGTAAGTTCAGAAATGTTCCAACTGTCGTTATATTGATTGAGATCAAAATAAAATTGAACCATACAATGTGTAGATTTTTATTGGCCTTTCCAAACACTGAAAAACACTCAACAGTAATGCCCTGCTGATTTGTATCATCTGTTTTTATTTAAAGTGCATGTTAATAAAAAATGTGTGAATTTATCATTAAATGTGCTTCACAAGTGGTAAGAGTATTTGTTTTCAATATTGCTCCCTTCAACATCCACATTTCTACCACAGCTCCACAGACGCACAAATGCATTCATTATAAAATGGTGCAGCTTTGTCACCGAAACATTCCTGGGCTCTCATGATCATCAATGAAATTCATGTCTTGGACAGCTTTCTTCAGGGGGACCAAACTGATGGAAATCCAACATTGTGAGACTGTGAGGTGATTTCGTGTCACAGTGCAAAAATGCCAATTCAATACATTCAATGCACTGCACTATTTGAGGGATAGGTGGTGAACAATTTCTTTGGAGCTCCTTTGAACTGTATAAAATATTGTAACGCTTACGGCCGACAGGCACTGTGTAAGAGCCGGCGTACCAGAGCAGGTGACGTCACCACTCTTCCCTGTGATAGCAGAACTACAGCTACTGGGCTGTAGAGAGATCTCTCTCTGGCTCACCGGGCTGGGTCCCTGCAGAGTGACGTTGGAGTCCCGGGATTGAGCCCCCAATGGTGGGGGGCTGACCTAATCCGCATTAGTGCCCGCCTGAACCCCCGTTGTGTTACATTGGTGTCAGAATCGGGGTGGGATAGCCCTTTGCCGGGGACAGCAATTTAAGTGGGGGAGAGTGTAACTCTTAAAGCCGACAGGTACTGTGTAAGAGCCAGCGTACCAGAGTAGGTGATGTCACCGCCCTTCCCTGTGATAGCAGGACTACAGCTACTGGGCTGTAGAGAGATCTCTCTTTGGCTCACAGGGCTGGGTCCCTGCAGAGTGACGCGGGAGTCCTGGGGTCGAGCCCCCGATGGTGGGGGGCCGACCTAATGCGGCAAGGGCACCTGCCTGAACCCCCGTTGCGTTACAATATATTTCAGAGTCAACAGTGTTGTACTGTAAGTACTGTCAGAAAATGTCATCAAGGACAGACAGCCATTTACTTGCTTGGGTTCTATCTTGACATTAGTGTCAAGTATATGATATGCATACCTAGAGTGCTCTTGAGTATAAATTGGCATACTCTATATATCTTTATACTTTAGCTCATCAGAAACCGAATTAAGAAATATGAAGGAGGCCAGTGGTACACAAATCATATTCCACTTTACATTCAAGAGGTATACAAGTGGTAATTTGTGTCACTCTAAAAGAAATGTCACAAGATGGTGTGACTTTCATGAGGAGCAATACAACATGATTGGTGGTGGGAATGGCACCTTATTTAATCTCTTTCTTATTTCCTTTTCAGCATCTACATTTCCCTCTTCCCCTGGATTTTTTACAATATAACAATGAAAACTGAGAAGTTGTCTAGTGTCCACAGGTACAAACACCCAAGGAAATCAACTCACATATGGTCTAAAGATTTGTGTCCTTGAATGCAAATGTTTAACGATTGCTCGAATTTCAGACCATACTCCATTTTCAGAAAATACCGTTGTCATACAGAAGCCTGGTCACTATGGGAAACATGAATCATGTTCACCAACCAAGTTGTTCGGTAGAAAACTAGAATTATATTTACTTTTTACATTCGCTTTGTAGGAAGGCTTATACAGTGGCATACCCCTTGTTATTAAACTTGTGAAGATTTTTTTTAATGTATTTCTTGGAAAAATGGTTAAACTCAAGATTCATTTGATATTCACTCGTGCCTGGAGTGTTGGAGAAGATAGAGAATATTTCTACTGAAAAGTAAATTAGCTTTGAGAGGATTACCTCAGATGACACAAGTGTTCTCCCTCTCATGTTTGGGACATGGTCCTACCTCAGGTGAACATTTTAAGCTTCTTAGCCTGTGCCAGGTTTCACTGAATAGGCCTGATTCCATGGTGTTAGAGGGTTATATATATCCTTACCCAATTTCAACAATATATCCAAAATATGTTACTTCAACTGTGTAATTTGGTTCACTTGTCTCTCATCTGTTATTATCTGATCTGTATTTGCAATCAGTTTTTATAAGTACTGAATATTAGTTTTAACGCTCTCTATTCTAGGTGGATGTCACTTATGAGCCAATGTCTGATCTGCTTTCCATTTTATTGAGCCAGAGAGGCAATAACCTGAGCACATGTGCATTTTAACATACAGACCTGCAAATGTTTGTTAATGCAGCTAAGACATTAATTACAAACCTGTTAGCAACTCATTGTGTACTCATACTAATCCCACCCTTTTTAAATGAACAATACATCCGTAGTAATGTGCAGCACATTGAGATGTTTGCTTTTAAAGACAATATATACAAAAAAGATTATCATAATAATAATTTATGCACCTTCAAGTAAAAACTTTTCCACGCCTGTAACCTGGGAATGAAATTCATTCTCGAATGGAGCAGAGTAAAAGATTAATAGGCAGCTTTTCTAATGAATAAATGGAAAACAGTAAAACATTGTGAAAATAATAGTGCATGTACTGTTGAGTACGGTAAAGCTGTCTTAATCTGCCTAATCCTTTCTGGACTCCAGCCAGGCCCTGAAGCTGAATGTAATTTACATGAACAGCTGTCCTTGAAGAAGAGTGCATACCTACTGTAAATCTATGGAAAAAATGGGATTTGAAAGAATGACTTTGTAACAGTCTTTTTTTCAGTCTCACACCCAGTACTGGAGACGAAGGGATTCCCTTATCTCACCATTAGGTTTATTACAAATTATTCTAAAATAGAGAAAAAAAGAAAAAAAAACTCCAAGGCCATTTTAAGCCTTTAAATGTCTTAATCACAAAACCTAATCATGTAGAAAGAAAGGCGTACCTATGCATTTTTTTTTCTTTCTGAATTTCTAATGAAAAGAATATCAGTAATTAAAATAACCTACTGTACCTTTCTGCCATTTTCGAAACGTTTTCTTTCCAGTATATACTTTCAAAAATGTTAAACACATTTATATATTTAACAATGTGTAGTATTTGTAATTGGAACCCTGGTTCTGAACCACTGTCTTAGGTACACATTTAAGCACACAGTCACCTTACCCAAACCAACTGAAACAGAAGGCATCCCTTGAACAAGCTCTTTAATACTCTGGAAAGCTCAGAGTAGTGACCTCACCAAAACTAGCTCATCATATGCTGTACTCCCTGGTATCCCTTTAAACTCTACAGGAGCCTGAGACATTGGATGATATCATCTAATTGATCTGAGTCCTGGCACAACTCAAATGTTCGCAGCTGGATGCCAGATTTGACTTTCCTTATCCAGCCCAACCCAAACAAACATTGACCCTGTTATGCCAAATGTTATGCTGTCTTTGTGATACAGGGGCTTCAAATGTTTTGGAGAGCCCAGAGGAATGATTTCACAAAAAGAGATTCATCAGACCTTGTGAAGTCTGTCACAATGAATGATTTACAGTGTTTTTAACCTGAAACATGCAGGTGAAAATCAGCCCTATGCAGGCTTTTGCATATGAGGTTGTTAAATAAAAATCAATAAATCTAATAATCTTTGTGCTAATCACGTCTGCAAAGTACTCACTATCTTAACACGGTGTCCTGGTGTGGCTGTGATTTCCCACGTGCATTCCTTACGGCTCGGGTACTTGTCTGGCCAGTTGGGGCTGGTGATCATCCCACTGGAACTGTGTACTTTGTGTTCGCACTCAGCTGTGGTAACAAATGGTAGGAGACAGTTAATATACAAGAACAAATTGTGGTTAATTTTTAATCCTGTCAATTTAGTATGTTACATTGTACATGCTGTTATATTTAGGGCAATGAAAGAGGAAGGTTGTAAATCTAAAACTTAATTTAAAAATATGAAACAATGAATTGACAGTCATGAGACTTGAAAGTGTTAAGGGGTGATTCATTAACACAAAGATAAAACTGGTCTTATTCCTTTATTGCCTTTCATTTTGTAAGACTGAATGCTTAAACAAATTAATTAATCCCAGAAACACATATTTGGAAGCCATGTAAGGTTTTTTTCTGATAGAGGGATCTGCATAAAATCACAAATAATAGCTGACAGAACACATATGAAATAGTACTATCAGGTTAATGTATTTATTTTAATTCAAATCTTAGGTATGTTTCTTCCTCTCCATTTGTACCAAACTGGTTAATTTAAGCCTAAATTTAATCTTGATCTGCCATTGCTGTGTTGTCCTCAGTAATTTTATATAACAAGGTACATGAAGTCTGATGTGAAACATAATCAAACAAAAACTCTAGTTTATCATTAGAAAATAATATTATCCTCCACAACATTTAGAGAATTCCACACAGTCGATCTCAAAAACACATCCCTTCACTATTATGTACTGAGCCACATAAGAAGATATACTTATACTGCTAGTATAAGAAGAAACACTAAAACTTTCATGCAGAAAAAAATATGTATTAAGCTAGATCTACATATTTTCCTCAACAATTGACTGATCTCCTTTTAAATCCTCTAAACTCAAAGACACCTTGCCTTGCACCCTTCCACTTAGACTTGTCATCTGACTGTTCCCCTCCACACTCCTCTTGAATATTTAAATTAGTTAAATAAGTTAGCTTTTTATGAAATACGCCACGAATTGATCATGTCAAAGTACAGAATGATAGCACAGCGGGGGCACACATGTCTACATCATCCTTGAGGATGATAAGCAGTATACAAATGCAAGGATTATTACTATATTTGTATTATAAGATCTACATCAAATTTAATGCATTTTTGGGCTGGGTTTCAGTTCCATTTAACATGGGAGTCTCGTTAATAAAAACAGTCACAAGAAAAAGGAAAGTGTCAGTCTGAAATCATTCCATGCTACCATCTTAAACAGTGTGTGGCTCATTAAACATTTGAATCAGATAAAGCGGTCAGAATTTACTGAATCAATCTGAGAGATTATATAAAACTCTTGGAATGCCAGGTATTATCCTCTGGTATTCCTGTTAGAGGTTGCTAAACAATTGTTAATGGCTATACATTCAAGTACACAAAGATTTTAATCATAATACATCAGAATGTATCTTATTATTAGGAATTATTTTATTAACTTAAATTGAGTTTAATAATTTATACCATGATGGAGCTGTCAACGACTTCTTAGCACTTGTAATGAGGACAATACCAATTCACTAACAACCTGTCTGATAAAAGGCCAGACTTACAACAATTAAGGAATAGCTGCAAAAATAAACTTAGCTAAAACTCAAATCCTAATCTTATCCAAATGCTAAAAAACCTATACCTTACCCCCATTCCCTTATCCTTATAATGTATAATGTTTCTTTATTAGCCCTACACAATTTCTTAACCTTAATCAGATGGTTTACAATCTATTCCCCCACAGGAAGTTAATTTTTAAAAGATCTGAAGAACAATTAGTGAAAAATTCATTACTTGCACTAACTAGTCATATATAAAGATATACTGAACAGACATAACTGTGTAAACTAATGTGTGCCATTGCCCGTATGTGACTGTATTCATTTTATTTTTAATGTTTGCAGTATCACTTGATTTCTAAACAATTAAACTTTTGTCAGTTTAATTCATTTGGCTTTTTACATTTATCCTCTTAATAGTGTTTGTATATTCAAGATTTGATGAGGCACTGTATATGAACTGTTCTATATTACAAACTTGACTGTACTGACTGTACAGTAGTCAAATGTAACATTTCAGGTGGGTAGCTGCGTCAGCATACGTAGGCTGCAAAGGAACAAGTAATCGGTTTATTCCACGCTGAAAAGAGTAGAGAGAAAACACAACGTTTCGGCCGTGGAGCCTTCTTCAGGTGTTTTGTAGGTTGATTGTAGTGAAACATGGGAACCATAAGAATGCTGGATTCCATTTTTGTTGAAATCAGAGAGCATAACACTGGAAGAGAAACATGTAGAGTGTAGCATTTTAGAGAAAATGGGTTTCTAGATCACAGAAAATTTGAACTTATCCAGTGTTAATAATTAGGGAGTTACAACAAAGAACTCTGATAACTTCTTATTGAAATGAAAAGAATCTCAAACTCTTGATATGTATGTGGCTTTGATATGTTTTAGACATGACCTTATGGAATACAGATGATCAGTGATGTTAGACAGATAACCATTACTGACTGAATAACCTTTTGAGACATAGTGTTACTCCAAAAAACATCAGTAATCATAATTCTCTGTACTAACGATGCAACACAAAAGTGAGAGATGAAATCAATACTTATGCTTTTTCCTGCTTTTTCTTTTTATGCTTTTAATTATATTATATTTGTAATTAATTATTCTTTTACTGCTGCTTTTAAATTCAACTTTCTAGGCTAACCAAAGTTTTCAGAAAACATAGCTCCTGAAAACTTTGATTCTCAAAGTTTTATGTAAGAAATTAGTTTGGAAAATAAGTTGCACAGAGCTAAGGAACCAAATTTTAAAATGGTACTGTATGTATCAAACTTGTGTAATATTGGTATTTTGACATTTAAAACAATAGACTTGACTGCACTGTTTTATATATCCCAATTTGAAACCGCCACTTTTTCCATCAATTTGACCCAATGATACAATCCTTAAAATTACAACAGTGGCAGAACCAAAGTATTGTGGCTCCAGTGGTTACACTGTACAGTATACTGTATGATGGGATACCTGACTGACTCAAGCCCATCTTACCCTCAGCAGCTGACGTCTGCTGCTTGGAGAATCCTAGACAAAGTTAGGTTCTCAGTACATGTCTGATGTCTGGATTGTGGGACCTAAAATTGCTTCTTCACTGATCCAGCTACCCTGCTGCCCACTAAACTGCCATCTATCCATTCATTTCATCCAATTGAGGGTGGTGAGAGGGTGGGGGAGCTGGGACCTATCCCAGCAAGCAATGGGCATGAAGCAGTATAAACCCTGGATAACACACCAGTCCATCACAGGTCAAGCACAGACACAGATATACACACACTTACACCAGGTTTAGTTTTCCCAGAAACCAATTACCCTACCAATACATCTTTGGACTATGGGAGGAAACTGGAGCACCTGGAGGAAATCCACTTGAATATGGGACATGCGTCACCATGCCCCCCCCCCCCCCCAGGTTAACATATATTTTTACAATTCTAAAGGAGTGTTGTCAGATATTTGTTTTTAGAAATTAATTTAGAATGGTAAATTATCAGGTAAGCAACTAGAGAAAGCACTTTTTTTGGTAACTTGGATTATATTATATTATTATATAATTGTCTTAAATCCCTTTAAAACAATGGGAAAGAGCTCTCACAATGTTGAGCTGAAAAAAGTATTTTAATTAAAAAATGTTACAACATGAATACTTTCATTTCCGTATTTCTTCTGATCCTAACTTAATTTTTTTTTAAGTTTCAGAATTCCTACCATCTATTTAGCTACAATACAGCTGGAATTTAAATTTTGATTTAATTAAATTATGTTTCTATGTTTATGAAAGTTTCCTTTATATGTTACTTCAAAGTAGAAGCTACTTAACCAAAGGATTTAGATCAAGGGCAGAGTCCTCTTGGCCCTAAATTGATACAAATATTTTTTCTACTAAATCCTTTCATTTAACAACTAATCCAAGTCGAACAAGTAAAGGTTAATTCCTCAATGAAAAGTAGGAGGAACAAACACAGCCTTTTGGATGTTTAAACGTCTTCAGTTGTAACACCTAAAGAAGGCTCAGCAGCCAAAAGGTTGTCTATCTTTCTAATTTTTAGCATTTAATTAACCTTTAATTTAGTTGTTTGGTCAAACAAGAGTGAAACGAGCTGATGCATATAAAGAGAGTGTGTTTAGTACTTAACTTTAACTTGCCTGCCTGAGGAAATGACAGCACTGATCTCTGATCATCTTCCCCTCTACCCAGTTAAGAGGTATAAGCCAAGGAGAATTGCTGAATGGTGATGTTGGAGTGGAGACAGGGGTGCTGTTCGATATAATGTGCATGGTACAATGTTCAGTCAGGGAGCTTTTACGCACAGGGAAAATGCACTCACCACAATTTGGCTCAGCATGGCTTTCATTAGCATTACATGTCTGTTCCTAAATCCACAATGCTAAAGAATTAAATGCCCCTAGGGCTGCAGTGATTACAAGAAAACATTTCCATCATGAAAAACCACAAAAATAGGGCTGTGTGGATAATAAAAATTCACCATCGAGTTGACTTTGTCTTCTTGTATCAACTCATTTATGTCACTATAATTCTACACATATATTTGTGTTGCTTTATACCCTTAATAAACAGTAGCTAAAACACTGATTTTGGAATAAAAGAAGGTGTTCCTTTTATATTTTATCAGGTTGTAGATCTTCTCCAGAGAGATGGTTAACTACTCATCTATAATAATAATAATAAACTTTATTTTATATAGCACCTTTAAAGGTGGCTTCTCAAAGCGCTTTACAGGATGACAACACCAATAAATAAGAAGAATACACAAGATAAAACACAATTACAATATATAGAGCAGACCGTGGATGGTGGTACTAAGAAAAGCAGAGGGGTGGAGAATGGAACCAGTGAAGTAAAGGCTTTTCTGAAGAAGAGGGTTTTAAGTCTGGATTTGAAGGAGTTTAGAAAAGGTGACTCTCTGATATCCTTGGGGAGAGAGTTCCAGAGCTTGGGGGCATAACAGGAGAAGGCCCTGTCACCCATACAATGTAGACGGGCTTGTGGGACAGTAAGGAGAGCAGAATAAGAAGAGAGAAGGTTGCGCGGTGGGGAGTAGGGCGATAATAGTTCAGACAGGTACTGAGGTGCCAAGCCATGCTGAGCCTTATAGGTGAGCATGAGGATTTTAAATCTATACGGAATTTGACCTGAAGCCAGTGCAAGGACTCCAGGATAGGAGTAATGTGAACACTTGCACTAGACCTGGTCAGGCTTCTGGCTGCTGAATATTGGACATACTATAGTTTGTTCAGAGTAGATTTAGATACCCCAGCGAGTAGAGCATTACAGTAGTTGTACAGTAGTACAGTACATCTCATGCAGAAGCTCTCTAGCTCCTCAAATTGAGCTGTTTAGGCTGACCATCTGCCCTCCTCAGCCTCATGGCATGCATGTTCTTCTGGAGACTCTTATCAGTCGAGGGCACCGATTTTAGGATCCCCTAACAATTTGAATACACACAATGTGAGCTTATGATTGTTACTTTGCTAGAAACTCAGCTCTCTGACATAATGCACCAGGTATTAGGTAAAAAAGTCCTGGTAGGCACCTGGTATCGACTCATGCCCAGGTGTGACAAACACACCAAGGACAGAACGTGCAACCCAACTCTAAAGCAAAACAGATCTGTGACCGTGCCTCACAGATATTGTCTTCAACATAAGCTTTGGTTATGTGAGCTAAACACACTCATCCTAGGAGTGTCTAAAAAACTGTACTAATGCTCCATCCAACCACATCACATGGAACTATTGGACCTGGGATTAAATTAATTCTTATCTGAAACATTCACATGATCTTCTTTTATTGTGACTATCAGCCTTCATGAATCATGAGGTTAACATCAAAGGGCATCGATGGAAACATCAGATCCCCATGATGCAAAAGTTTCTAGAAGATTCCCAATCATTGCCTTTGAATTTAAGTTCCAAAAAGCCTTTCAAAAAGCTTTTTCGGGACAAATGCCTGGCAAAAATCCCACTAGACTTGAACACCGTGATGATGGATAATATGACTGAAACTGGTTTGTTCCATCAGGTTATTAACTCCTTTTATTCCAGAATTTTCCATAGTGTTCATCACAGTGGTCAAGGTTTAGAACTATCAGCTGAGTAGCAATTCTGTGACTTACCCAGTGACTAGAAATAGTACTATCTACTACTAACTACATTTCTTCCGAGGTCAGCTTCCTTTTATAGCCAGTGGCAATCACAGTGACTACCGGGAGCTTATACAAAAACACAGAAAATCTGTGAAACAACCGAAAAAACACTGAATGTTTTATAGATTTATAGGGTATGAATAAATCTGAAAATCATGCTTTCAGAATTATCCATAATTTTAACTATGCCAGTGGTATTTGTAATACCCTGAGATCCCAAATTATCCTTATAAATGTTGAAAATGTAAGCGTTTTTTCTTTGCTAAACCAAACTGTATGCATACAGTATATATAGTTCAGGTGGGTAGCTGTGTCAGCATGCCTGGACTGCAAAGGAACATGTGAGAGGTTTAATTTAATCGTTGCTGTCTGCCCTGTCTTTCTCACACCTGAGAAAGACAGGGAAGAAGGCTCCACAGCCGAAATGTTGCGCTTTCTCTCTTCTCTTTTCGGCATACAGTATGTATATAGCTGATGTTAATAACAATGTTTTAAATACCACCTGACTGGTACCAGTACATACTCTGTGTTACCCTCTATGTTAGCACCAACAAAAATATGCTCCTGGCAGACCCTGGATGGAATCATGAAAGCAAGCAATGTTTACGCGACTGGGATCAACCTGCACATCTATTCAGTGAATCTATTCGGTACATAAAAAATGCTTATAATACAGTAACTAAAGAAGACTTAGCTGTCCAAAGGAAGCGTGGAGCATCTTGCAGAAGACTCCATTTCAACTGAAAGGTCTACGAGCGAATGTGGTCCACATACCTTCTTTGCAGTCATGTTTGTTTTCATGGAGCACAAATCCATTGCGGCACTGACATACATAGCTTCCTACAGTGTTGACACACTCATGCTGACAGCCGCCATTGTCCTTGGAGCACTCATCCTTGTCTGTGGAGAGTGTGAGAGATGCACAACATGCACACATAAATTGCTTATTTCCAAAACAAGCGGAGAAAAAAAAAACAAGACAACGTGCTTGTGTGTTTGTCCAGAACAGGGTAAACTATGGCAGAAAAGTCTCTGCAGCCAGACAGAAAAGCTTTTACTCTTTGCCATACTTGTACCCATTCATTAGCCTTTGGATCTTTGGATCTGGCCACTTAAGAGCCACTACCAATTGGTTAAGGAGGAACGCATGTGTATAGGCCTCATTGATCCTACCTGTATCTGGGTTACGTTTGGTCTTTAAATTAATGTTTCTATTGTCTTCATGTAGATAATACATTCTGAGGTTTGGAGTGGAAAAAAATGATGACTTTGGGGGATGTCTGTGAATATCGTTCACTTTTCTTCAGTCTGATCTCTGCCACCCTATTAAAGTTTTGGTTCTAAAAGAAATAGCCATTGCTTTTAAAAAAATAAAAAATCTACAGGCATTGTCTTGTAAGTGTGAAAGGAGCACATCTGTTTTAATTGAAGGAGATTGTACTGCCTGAAAAATTGACTAAGCGTCATTTCATATTACAAATGTGAAATTCTCTGAAATTATTTTCGTTTTGAAATTACAAGTATGTTGAATCATTTTTCACAGAAAAATCATTTTTCATGCTCAAAAGTAACTATTTTGCTTTATTTAAGCTATGGTGGCAGCAATAATTTGTGGTCTCGAACAAACGTTTTGCATCATTAACATATCACAAGTTCTTTTTCTTTGTAATTGTCACTGAACCACTTAAATTATGAAATATGTGTAAATAAAATCTTATTTCCAGATTATTTCAATTACATAAATAAAGAAGTAAATGTGTTCATTAGAATAGAATGATATCAAACACAGATGATTATGATGCAAACAGTCCTATAATTTTACTCTTTACACTCTTTTGAAATTGAACTACCATAAGTTCAATTCAGACTCATATACGATAACATTGAATTTGAATGTTTACTTTTTATAAAGCATTTTTAATCTACATGAATAAAGTGTTAAATATTTTAGTAGTAAATTTTTCTCAAACTTGCAAATTGAATATGATTCTATTAGCACCTAAGTTTCCCGTACCGAAAAATTCTCTTATCAAACATTTTTACAATTACTACATGGATTTCAGAAGTAGTATATCTGATGTGAGGTAAGGTTTAATTTATTGATAATGTTAATTTCTTCTGATGAATCTGGACAAATGGATACACACACAGAAGACAGCAGAAGAGTACAGAAAATGAAAGTAAAACCCACACATTTGTAAAACAGGATGAAAAATTGCATTTGTAGCTTGCTGAAGGCCACCACAAAGCAGACAAAGATGTATCAGCAAATAAATAATCTAAAAGAGGCTTTACGTGGTTAGAAAAGAAGCTGGAGTTAGCAGGGGACCTGTGTAAAACAGCCACCAAATTCCCCAAAGAGGGTGAGAAGCCAAACTACATTAGCAGATAGTCATTCCGGTGAGAAGCAGTCAGATGCTGCTATTCGTAATCAGCCATTACTTAAAGCAGGACTGGTCCGTCCATTAAACCCAAACTGGCAGACTGTTCCTGACAAATATTATACGAAGTGTAATGCAATGTCAGAGACTGCGTTTGTCATTTTCACATGCAATGAGGTCAAAGCGCAATTTCTGGTTAACAAGAATGTTCAGGGAATGTAGGAACCAAAAGAGAATCTCAACCTTTGTTCATGTGACTGGAAGAAACATTGTTTCTTGGATTCCGCTGGCTACAGGAAGGCTGCAACAAGGTATGCTTTCACATTTGATCATGTCACAAACCAAACACTAGGAATCCAAAAACCCTTGAAAGTATTCAAATATATTTTTATAAATTATTTACCAGTATACTTCTATTAATACTAAGCTAAAGTGCAATGACCAAATTATTTAATACAGCAGTCTTATCCTAATTCTTTTTCAAGATGCAGTGTCTAATGCAATTCAGTGACCATTCAGGCAGTGCTATGTTCCTTATAACCTTACACGGTAAAAACACATGTTGTGAATACAGTATCTTATTGTGCAAGCAATACATATTCAGGCAACTTGTAAAAAATTAAATAGATCATCTCTTACGATATAATCCCCTGTATGTTTGTTTATCAACGCTGCATTTCTATTACAGGAACTCCAGCATCTGTACCTTCCATACATGTTCAAATTTAATGTTGCTTCATCCATGTTTCACAGTAGGTACAGGTAACATACTGTACAATTCAAATTCTTTCAAAGACATTTTCTACAGCATCTTCATATACAGCGTAGTGAATTTAAAATATCTGATAAAATGACTAAAACGTGTGACTGTGGGAGGTACGGTACTTGTCACATTTTGTTTATTAAGGGCAACTTGACCACTGGATCTCTTTGCGTTCTGTTTTTACCATCTGTTCTGACAAGAAACAGCATGTTCTTTGTTTGGTTACTCAACACTGTCTGCACATACAGTATCTGCCATAACATCGTGATGGAAAAATTATTCTAAAACATCTGAATGCTTAGTTACAAGTTGCCTAAATACATATAGCAGACAGTGTACTTTTTAATTAATCATTTTGGCAATGAAGATGAAGCAAAATGTACAGTTACACTGAATTTGTTCTTAACTCTTAGTACACAAAACATTTATCTGAAAAAAAGCATATGCAGCAAAGAATTACCTGTACATAGCACATTCAAAACTTTAATTTTAATCTTTTTTAAACTTTAATTTTAAGTCATATTCATTAGACAAAGAAGGTTGAGCTCTGCTCTCAGTTAATTAATTAATTGTTTACTTGCCAGTATTAAAAGACAAATAAGCACTGTGAGTGTTTACAATGAAATCTGGGGTGAAAAATCTCTGAATTCATGAAACACAAAACAAAAAAAAATATTCCTATAAAATACAAACAATTAAGACCTAGATTATTTTCTGAATTGAGAAGCATGGTAAGAATCGGTATCGAGCTGTATAACTCCTTGAATTGCAAGTCAAACCTCAAAGAAATACCCCTTTCAATGGTTTTAGTAGTGACTCCATGTACTGCATGCTCTGACCAGGTGTGACTGGGTGCTTGAAAAATGCAATGGGCCACCTTACTCCTCTCATTCAGTTAGTTCTGTCATCCAGTTATGCTAAAAAGTTTTTCTTTGAGAAGAATAAAGAAAAAAACGTAGCATGTCCATTTACAAAGTAATGGTCATAGGTCTGAAACAGCGTTAATGAAGAACAAATGCTTTGCTCCAAGGAACAAACACATTTGCTGTCAAGCAGTCTCCCAGTTTTGAATGGATGCTTTTCAGCCCTTCGGGTTAAGGAAAGATCCATTCCATTTAACGTGTGTTAGATTTGGAACCAATCGGGGGACATGTGGTCGTACCTCTGATACCTTCAGAGGCCACCAGTCTGTCAATAATACGTACTCGGCCAGAGGGAGCAACATGTGCCGCGTCCTTGCAAGACCCAAAAACAAAAATTCTCTCTTTGCAGTGCGCTTCCTTGTCTGTGAAAGAAAATGTATCAATATGGCACCACATATGAGTGTGTGCAGGGGTATGTAATGCTTTCCTAAGTATAAGAGGACAGGGTCTCCAGGATCAACCATTGAATCTCTTCATCGCTTCATGTTTTCAAAGACAGCTCTTCATAGTTCAGAATGAGTTATACATACAAAAGCAGCCATGAAAGGAGGCTGACCCATTTTTTTTTTAGATGAATTTTCTTTCATTTGTTTCATGCTCTGCACACCAGCATCATGCGATGGGGCAGTGGCTCTGTGGCTAAGGATGTGTGTCTGTGGCTGGAAGGCTGCCAGTTCAAATCTCGTGACTGGCAGAGCAGTACTACTCCATTGGGCCCCTGAGCAAGGCCCTTAACACCAACTGCTCCAGGGGTGCTGTATAAATGGCTGACCCTGTGCTCTGACCCCAAGCTTCTCTCCCTGTCTGTGTGTCTTATATTCTCTTATCTGGTTGTATAACCAGCTGTTACAAACAAAACTGGGATGTGATTGTTATTCAGCATGGGCTGGGGACAGTGGTCATAGACCAGTTGTGTTGAACATTAAGGCTTTTGTGTGAAAAAAGAAACACAGCTGAAAACACTGTGTTAATGTAGAGGCTTTCCATTTTTAAAATGCTGCCTATAATTTTATAATGAAATATGGCCTTCCTGTAACAAAATCTGCAGGTTTGATGTGTTTTCCTTTCCTCTTTCAATGGACATACTGTAAGTGAAATGTACAACAGATAATATACACCCTATTTTAAAAAGACCTGAAAAAGAACTGCCATTATTTTACCTTTGCAGTTCTAAAAAGGAATCATAGCAAGATACAAAAAGATTAATGATCTCTGGATGGTTAAAAAGATGCAAGTTAACTTATGCTTATTACCCAAGCTGCACAGTCAGAGCTTGCACTCAGCCTTTTCAAAACAGACAAAACAACAAGCACACGAACCTTACACATGATACATGTAACCAAAATAAACATATACTCAACACTTATACATTAACTTAAATAGAAGAATTCTACAACAGATGTCACATTTTTAAAAAGTTGAGTACACTATCAAAAGCACCACACATGACAGCATAACATGGCACACTGATATATTATTTATTTGCTGGACTACTCTTTTTCACTAAAGGCTAAAAAACATATCTTAAAATGTCAGCCTATTTAATACACTCTAATATTATCTGCTGTAACCACCTGTCTTTTGGATTATTTAATAGCAAGGCCAAGATCATCCTTCTTATCCACAAGAAAATACATTAAGTAATTAGTTCTGCAATGTTACCAGTGTTTGGCATCAATATTACACAAAAAAATGAAACACACCAGCAGGACAATGCTGCAACATTTTGCCACACATTGAAGTTTGAAAGTGCAAGGTGTTTATGACCAATTCAAAAACCTTATAATGAAAACTGTGCACCCTGAATGTATAATATATAGTACAAGACAAATGGTACCTTGGGGAACATGTTCTACCAACAATAATAGTGAAGTGAATAATATTGAACACTAACATAAAACCCATTAAAAACACAAACTGAGGTCATTCTGAATAAACAAAGCATGCCCGTTGTCCTAAGTTAGGGGTTCACCATGTATTTGTGTGTGTAACTATTTACAATACAATATTGATTTGTATGAATGTATCCATAAAAGCACTCTGTATTTCCCTCTTTTCTGGGCTATGCAGGATATGCTGCATTACCTTTGCCCAGTACATATATAGATAACGTTTTTTAGACATAGCTTTAACCAAATATAGCTTGGATGATATCTAAAAGAATAATTTGAAATCAGATTCACAGAATTCTGCATACAGATTAATTTGTTTTAAAAAAAAGCCTTGAACTGTCACGTGAACAGGTCAGTACATCACATTGCTCAACACCTGAGAAGATGACATTTCAAATTATTAAGTATTTGCATTATCTGTTTTGCCTAGTGATTGTACCATGCCACTCAAAATACCATAATGAATAAAAAATAGAAAGAGATAAACAGTCTTAGAGCATGTTTTCCATTTTCTAATTTCTGTTTCATTGGAAGATTTAAGTGCTAGACTTAGCAGAGGGTGACAATCAGTTAATATTCACAAGAAAATGTGAATGTTTACAGTTCTTCTGATACAAAAGACCTGCTAAATATCATATTTTGTAAATAGCAAAGTAATTAGGCAAATCACTGTAACTTGGGAATGTTTGGATCTTTATCTTTTGTAACAATGTTTAAGTTAATCAGGCCTGTAATAGAAACCATACATAGCTACTTTTTTTTTCCCAGAAATAACAGCAGTCATAAATATTCAAATCTGTCAGTATAATTATCTTGAAGCCAAAACCACAAAGGTAAAGGGAAAAACATACAGGACGGCTCTGTACCTGAGAAAAAATGTGCCTTGAAGCCCTTCTTAGAGACGGTATTGTCAGACTTAAATTCTATTCTCATGTTGTTGTACTGGGATGTGATGACTTCAGGCACTTCTGTTCCACAGAACTTTCCATGGAGTTTAGAATCTGAGGAAAGGCCACTGCGGACTTCAACATAATCATATTTGCACACCTAAATTGCAAAGAAACACAAACATCAGTAAGATATCACATCAAAATACACACTAGAAGAAGAAATCTGAATATAAAATGCTTATTTAAAACCTTAAGTTGAGAGATGGACTCCCCAGGGCTTAACTCTGTCTTCCTCACTTGAGATACTTTCATTGACTTCCTTTTATTATAATTGTATCCTGTGTTTAGCATGATACCATCAATAAAGGTGATTGGTTAAGTGACAGAAATAAAATTGCTCAGTAATTACATTTTAAGATCTATGCCGTGAGAGTTTGAGTATACTGTAATGAAAAGTGAAAGCATATTTGTCCAGTGTTTAATTCCTGTGGAAGTATTTAAAAACTAATGATATTATTGTTTCAGTGTTCTGTGAAGTACAGGAGCTCCAAATAGAAGCAATTTAAAAACAAATGTTAAAGTGTCTTTTAAATCATGACTCAACCAAAACAAGCTACACTTATCAATCATAACCCCTCCATCTCCAAAACATCAATTTGCACTTCAATTTTCACAACCTTAAAACTGGTTCTACCAGAAGTCATTTCATATATTGTTAAAAAGTAAGCATAACATTATGTATCTTGCATGTCAAAACATGTGTCTAGTACAAAATGAAATTATTTTCTGACATGCTTTAAGACATTTCCTTATATATATTTATCACAGTGAGTCAAGCTCACAAAACATCTTTGTCTTGTGTCATGATTCATGTTTGCCATTTTATAGCTGAAACAACAGGTGCAAAAAGCTTCAATTTTAAGCCCAGTGGGAAAATTGTTTGAGCCAGTCTCATACTATGCCTGATACTAGCTGACCACATGAACAACCTTAAGTAAACTGATTCTGAGAAGGAACATATTCTAGAAACAACCTTCTTTTCGGTTTCAAGCTCTTTTATTTTATATATATATGAACTCACATAAGTATATATATTATTTGTAGGTACTGACATTAATATACAATAATGCCTTGTTGGGATTATTAGTGTACTGGGCCTTATTTTTCCAAATGCATAATTCCCTGCATGATTATGAGAAACAGGGATTAGAAAAAAAACAGGATTTATTTGAGATTTTATTTTATGGTGATTTCATTTTGGTTTCGGTCAAAACCCCTTATTATTGAGGAAAAGGGAAAAAAAACATTTGTTTAATCAGAAATAGAGATTTGTCTAACATTTGTCATACTACCTAATTGTGAGTCTCAAGTTCATCCTCCAACATGTTTTACAAGCATCTAACAAAGTATTTCTAACATTAACAGTCATTATTCTCTGTATACTAACATCTTAATCAATGGCTAAACTACTGTCTACTAAACTATACTCCTAGCCACTAATCTATACACCTGAAGAAGGCTCCACGGCCGAAACGTTGTGTTCTCTTTCTTCTTTTTTTCTGCATGGAATAAACCTATTACTTGTTCCTTTTTATACTACTAGCCTGTTTGGTCAAATTACATGTAGCAACAATATATACTGTACAACACTCAGGCTGAGAGGGATACACTGCACATACCTGGTTTGCACAATCCAGTATTATTAAGAACAGTTACAATAAAATGCAATGGGAATTTTTTGCAATATAGCGTAGACCTCAAAGACAGGGATGTAATGATTTAAGGAACAAGTAAAAGTTAATTCTACAGTGAAAAGTACAAAGTAGAAGGATTATGTTTTGGCTGTTGAGCCTTTTTCAGGTGTGTAAGAGCCAACACAGAAACAGTTAAAGGCACTTTAACATTGTATGTTTAATAGTCATAATAAAGGCTCTGATGATTATCATACAGTATCTTGTCTAAATCAAGCTAAAAAGCAGACAGGTGTTATCTTAGAGAAGTTGATTAGTGTGAACAGAATTGTTGTGTTTTGTTTTTTTCATTTAATTTTAATAAATCACTTACTTCATTTCCTTCAAGCTCAAAATACTCAAACTGCATGGAAATCCTGTATTGTGTAGGAGCTACCACTTGCCACACACAATTCTTATTTGGGGGGTATTCTCTGGGCCAGCCCGGTGTGGTAATGGTTCCATTTAGCTTTGTTAAGAGCCCTCCACAGGCAGCTTAAAGAAGAAAAAGGAGAGAAATGAAACCTATCACAAATATAATAAAGGTCTGTACAAGTGTCTTTTTCATAATTTTTCATAATTCTAAAAAGCATTTAAGCAGAGAATGTGAAATAAAATGTTTCATTTTGTTCATTGCCTCACAACTCATGTGAAATGTACAGCACCTTCACAACTCTTCTTGTCAGGCCCAAGTTCATAGCCTGGATCACAGGCACACTTGAAGCTCCCCAGGGTGTTCACACACTTCTGTTCACATCCTCCATTGTCAGGTTTGGCACATTCATCTTCCTCTACAAAGGGAAAAATTCAATGAGATGTTTAAGAACTGTTGGTTTCCTCGGCTCAAGCAACATAACAATATGGAAACACCGAAGTATCAGGTGAGCAATAGTATTATTCTCAGCATGATAACCAGTAATTGGTTTTACTACAAAAAATGGTGCCCTTGTTTAAAGATCATTCATTATCTTACATTGTGTGTAACATATGGATTTGTTTACTTGTCTATTTTCCGTAGTTTAACCGTAGTCTTACGTCGTAGGGAGTTATATTGTTTTCTCTCCTGCCTACTGGTCAGAATTAATGTTTTACAAACTCAGTTACAGAACTACATTTGTATCCAGTTTGGTACTGTATTATTAGGAGTTTTCAGTTTCAGCAAGAATGCAGCACAACTCTTTAAGGAACCAGTCTGAGTGCCTGACTTCCATAGTTTATTAATAATAGCAGGGCAGCAAACATTCTGCTGATTTTATTCATAAATTACACAAAACTAATAGCAAAACGTGCATTGATCAATGTATGTTTTCCAAGATGCTGAGTGGCTTTTTTTTAAAAAATAACATGGGCACAGCTATCAAATTTCTATTTTTAATTATTTTCTTATTCACAGTTACACTTTCAGTCACACAATTTCACGTAAAGAAAATATCCTTATACTGTATGTACTGTATAATGAAAACGTTGATGATGGTAGCAGAAAAACAGATTGTGTTCTGTGCTTATAGATACATTCTGTGTAGAAGTATGTTTAATTTTCTTAGGTTAATTCCTGGCAGAACTTGATGAGTAAATATGACAAAACTGTCAAAAGCATTTCATAATTCAATCCAATGTTAGTTTTTTTTTCAAATGAATGTACAATTTTATTTGCTTGCAAAATAAACTTTATTTGTACCACCATTAGGCATTGAGTCATTCTACACTGTAGCCAAGCTGTAGCCTGTAGCCAAGCAGGTAATGCTGTGTTTATTTTACAGTCTTTTTAAATGCAAATGGAATTAATATACTTTATCTTGTTTGATCTTTTAAGCCTCTCTTGTTATTTTCTAGGCACAAAGAGGTCTATCAGCTGTGAAGAATTCTATCATCTTAGCCTTTGCTATTAACCTGTTTCCAGGAAGGAATTATGCATGGTACAATCAAAATAAAGTATTTGAAATATGTTTTAGGTAGATTCCATAGACTGTTATAATTTACACTTCTTTATATGTTGTTGCCTAGAGTAGGAAGTAGGAAGTAGGAAAGTAGGAAGTAGGAAGCTCTGGACAATGAGGTAGCAGAGCGTTAGAAATAAGAGGGAATTTAAAGTACATCTTATTTTGGTTAGCATTGCTGTCTGGCACTGGTGGGGCCACGGGTTCAATTCTGGCTCTAGGGTGCTATCAGCGTAGAGTTTGTATGTTTGTATGTCCATTCCATGTTAGATAGATTTCCTCTGGCTGTTCCAGTTTCCTCCAACAGTCAAAAGACAAGCTGGTAGGTTAATTGGCTTCTGGGAAAATTAACCCAGGTGTGTGAACAGAGTGTTAGATGCAGGCAGCAAATACTACTGTATACACATGAATGGGAAACAATTTGCTTGAAGAAGGTACGTATGAAAATGAATGACTTGTTTATGTGGACACCATTTAATCTTCCAGACAAAGTGAAAAAGCACTTAAAAAAGAAAAATGATATGTGCAGTAGGATATACAGGCATAAACACAGAATGTAAATGAAGTGATGTTATGTTCAAATTTAACAATCTGCTAGTAAAATCTCATTTTAATACCATGTACAGTTTTGGTCACCTTTTTGCAAATACGGTATTACTGCCCTGGAAAAAGTCCAGAGAAGAGCAACCAGGCACATTCCCAGGCTCGCTGGAAAGTCCTACTCTGACAGGCCGAAAGAACTAAATCATTTTAATCTTGAACAGTGGAAACTATGAGGGCACTTGATTCAAGTATTCACAAACCTCAAGGGCTTTGACAAAGCTAACCCTATTGACATCTTCGGAATCAAAAGTTAAACAAAAACCAAAAACCTTTGGATTGCATGGACTGTTTAAAAATGAAGGTCACATTTTATTTTGTGTTTAATTGAGAAATTTTAAGTGCTGTATGACTTGAAGTGAGGTTCGTTGTCTACTTTTTAACAAATAAAGTTTAACATTTTAAATGCAGGGTTTAGACGTTTTAAGTTGATTGTTTTGGGATTTAGGATTTCATCACCCTTAGCTTAATGAAGCTTTGGCCTTACCAAACATTTTGTAAAGTAACTTTTTATAAGAATCTGAAAATTATAAGAATTTTTTCACTAATGCTCAGTTATTTTCAGTTTTTTTACTTATATTATACATGACAGCACAGCCTTTGCTTAAAACCTCTCTTTTAATAATGATAATAATAATCAAACCCTTTTTCAGCACTGACATTATAACAACAGAAATTGTAAATAATAAAAAACAGTGTAAAATTATGTTTTGTTTTTTCTTTCTTACAATCACTCTATAATAACTAACCCCTAGATATGTATTTTTTGTAAAATACAAAAAAAAGAGTTTTTACATGTCTTTGCCATGTCACATGTCTTTCAGACGTATTTTTATTTATCAACAATATTTTTTTATGAAGAACAGTAATGGAATAACTACCTTTGAAGAAGTTTGCAGCAAATCCAGCCTTGTTGACTGTCCCATCAGAGATGAATTTCATCCATAAGTTATTTGAGGTAGATCGGATGTCTTCTGGCTTGTCATAGCCACAAAAACGACCAATGAGCGGGCTGTTTTCTGTGTTACCATCTCGGACTTCCAGGTAGTCATAGGCACAGCTATCATGTCTTTCAATCTGTCATTGCACAAAGATTAAGCATAATTACAAATTCAATATGTTTCAAATTTATTTTAGAACATTCTAATTGAACAACTTATATTTTAATTGAATACTTAAATTGAAAATAACCATGGAAGTTTCTGCCAATCATATTTAATAAACATTCAAAACTTAACATCCCCTATGACACTCTCATTAGAAAATGTGAAAAACATACAAAATTATATAATCATTCACAGAATCAAATCTTCAGATGCTTACGTTAAGAAAACATGCTTAAAAAGGACACAAATCCAAAATACAATGTTTCTGCAACATGGCTTTCCCATTATGATATTAACAATAACTTAGGAAACCAATCCTGTGGTACATTTAAGGATTGGATCTTATCCAGAGTAAACAGGATTTCATAGATCACACAGCCCTTAAATCCTGCATTTACGGTATGAGATGTGTTTGTATAGAAGCAGCTGTGTATTTCGCCTGCAGGGGCCGCTCTTCTGTTCTTCTAGACCTTGCAGTGTCTGAATGAAATTATAGAATGAAGCTACTACAGTTGTGCTCCATATTTTTCCCTCAATGCACTGTGTGGGACACATTCCTCCTGTATAAAGCAGATAGAGGAAGATGTACTGTAGCTCTAAAAAGCCACATTGTTTCGCTCACACTGTACTCTCAGTTCTCCTACATTGCAACTTATAAAGTATATCATTTCTTGAAAGAAAATAGAAAAGTATGCAAATTGAAATGTTACAGAGGAGAATATAGATCTGGATTATTCTCAGCTTGTGAGCGGACATGTTAATGCCTCAGAAACAGCTTCACTGAAAGATAAATATGCCAGTCCATGAATCGAGTTACATAAAACACAAAGGGAAAGGACATCCACTGCTGGGATATTTTCTGTTTAGAGTCTGCACTGCGCTTTTGCACTGGGCATGATTTCATTCAGACTTCTGAATTACAGCTGTGCAAATGGTTTGGATAAAATTGACTACTGAAAAGGTCTTTAGACTACCAGCCAATCAGAAAATTCTGAATTTATCAAATTGTCTTGACACAATAACCCAGCTTATTTTTGTCATGCACTCTGCATGAGTATACAATACAGTATTTTTCAGACATTGGCAAAGTTTTATCAGTCTTAATATATCAAACAGGAAAGATTTCTAATGTAATTAAAAAGGATTGTACAGTATGTGATACTATGTACAAATTATAAAAAACCTTGACACACAAATAGGAATACAATGCTGTGGTTAATTTAGCTGCCAATAGTCAAAGTTCTTCCAGTAATTGTCTTTACTACACTGGCTTCCCATGCAGTTCACTGGTAGTATCTGAAAATATGTACAGACTGTTTTGCCTGTCATCACTTCTACAGCCTCAGGAATCCTCTGCCTTTTCACTTTTTGAGGTTTCCTCTGTGACCTTTCAACTTATTACATTCCTCAGGGATTCTAGAAAACTGACAATCATACAACATAATTTCAGAACCGGTCAGCAGAAAACAGTTTGTTCACATGTAGCACTGTAGCACTTTTTTTTCCCCCAGTTTTAACATGCAGCACATGTGTATGTTGTGCCATGATAAAAAAAAAGAGAAGCCTGGAACTGAATAAAGTAGCTCGGAAGTAATCAACTGATAATAATCCTGTTGCTGAATCCTGACATGCCTTTGAAAGAGAAAACATTCAAGGCCCTCACCTCAAAAGCCTGAAAGCTTAATCCTACATTGTAGTTCGCAGACACTGTTATCTTCCACACACACTCCTTCATTGGTCTGTAGTCATCTGGATAGTTGGGGGACTGAATCTGGCCTGCATCTTTGTTGATCTCACCTCCACAGATAGCTAATTTTAAAAAATGACATAGAATATTGGCTGTCAGGAGACTAAAACAATGTTGGGAGACAGGACTATCATTTTGTAATAGCCATAACATCCAACAGAAGCAAAAAAAAACACATTTAGCAAGAGAAAGGGTATAATTCTCCTACGGTGTACATCATTTTGAGATTTACCTTTTGTTATATATGTGATTTAGTCTATTTGGACGTATTAGCTCCAACTGATTTTAATTGCAAAGTAATCATTGACCATTGATATGTTGCGCTTCATATAATTACTTTCCCCTGTAATACACTTCCATTGTGAGTGGAGATCAGGTTTGATGAAGCAGAGAAGAAAGTTTAAAAGCCACAACGCACAATGCCCATCCTTCTATTGGTTGCTCAGCATCCTTTTGTTTTAATAAATTCCAAAAATGAATGTATAATATGTTTTTAGAGAGTGAGCTTCTCCCTTCTTAAGGTGCTTCCACACAGGAAGTGACTTATATACGTTAATATATTTTATCATATATAATAAATTATATCATTTACAGAGACGTGAAAGTTCACCACCTTATGATTCTATGGTTTTACATATTAAGACATATCTGACCTTCATCTAGTCCTCACCAAGTCCTAGTCTACCACATCGACAAGATCAATTTACCACATTGACAGAGGCCTGGAGATCCCTGGATGTAGCTTTGGGGATCTTTGTGATCTCGAGGAGCATCATAGGGTAAGAACCTGGGGTGAATTTGCTGGGACGCCCACTCCTGGGAAGATTGGCAACCGTCTTGGACTTTTTCCATTTGTGAATTATCTTTCTAACTATAGAAAGATGGACTCCTTATTGTTTGGAAATAGCTTAATAACCCTTCCCAAACTGATGAGCAGCAACGATTCTTTCTCTGAGATCATCACAGATATCTTTTCACCTAGACATGACAATGTACCACAAACCCAAATGTTCCAGACCAATCAGATTCTGATTTTACTTCCTGATGATCAACTATCATGTGCAAAAGTTTAGCAGCACCTGCTTCTATTTACTTCCTTAACTGATATGGAAGCAGTAAGGGTGCACTGTTGTGTGAAATTTATGGCTGAGTTTTTTTTAAATACATAATGACAAAGTAAAATTTGTGTGTTTTATTTGACACATAGGTCTTAGGTTAGGTCTTGGGGAGATTGAGGTGAAGGTCAGATATTTCTTAATCTGTGAAACCATAGAATCTTAAGAAGGTACTTTCTTTTTCACATCACTGTATATAATAAAATTAAGAAGTGACTAATGTTCAGTGGGAGGTTCCACATCCACATCAAGTTACACCGCTTTAAAAAAGCTTTGAAAATTGCTTAGCTATTTTTTCCACCACACAACTGGAAGGACAGTGACCAATCAGAAGCAAGGTACATACATGTGTTTGTTTCTGCCTCAATGTCAAAGACCCATTCCATAATCATGTAACCATACACAGCTCTCAGTTAGTTTTAGTGGTACAACACTGTTTGTTACTGTGGTTATGAAAGGATGCCTAAATGTCCCTGCCCCTGGAGCAGTTGGGGTTAAGGGCCTTGCTCAGGGGCCAAACGGAGTAGGATTCCTCTGCCAGCTTCAGGATTTGGACTGGCAACCTTCCAGCCACAGGCACAGATCCTTAGCCACAGAGCCACCGCTCCGCCATAGAGCATCAAAGTCTTTTGATAGACTAGAAGAATAGATTTGCAGAACAGCTACAATAACAATAACACCACCGCAGAAAGTCAGGAATTCCCTGGCAAAAATCCTGTGAAAACACTACCTGTAGGGGACAACCCCTGTTTAGTAAACTATGTCCAATAGGAATAGGGGCTTGGATTATTTCACACTCACTTCCCGTGTGAATTTACATTTGGGGACTTTGCTTGCAATGGTGATTTCAGCACGCATGCAGCCTTTAAACATAGTGTATCTTGGTTATGAACAACTATTTTTAATAAATAAACTTTTGTCTAACTAATCTTTTTAAACTATTTATTATCGCATCCAGCCTTACAAATGAATATTGTAACAGATATAGTATGAAACTCACATTTTCGGGGATACATATTTCTGTTTCCAAAACAGCATTATGTCGTAACCGTTAAAATACCTTCATAGATGGCAGAAAATCCTTTTCCCATCCAATTGCTGCTGCTTCGGAATTCTATCCACATGCGACTTTCTGTGGATATAAGGACTTCTGGGACTTTATCACCACAGAACCTACCTGCAAATGATAAGTGATGCTTACAATACAAGTTTTCAAAAACTAAAGTAGATAAATTAATTTTTGTTAGATATACTATCCCCAAGCCTTTAATATTTTACTTACTAGTATCTCTACAAGAATTTTAGTATAGATAAAAGAGACATTAGATATTAGCTATAGGGTGGATAATGGAGGAATTGTTTCAAAAATGCTAACTCATGTTTGAGAAGTACGATTATAGTACAGTATAAATAAAGTTATATTACATAAATTGAAATGAAAGAAAAAAACTAAAATAAGAAAAAAGTAGAAACAGAAGCCATTAGTACAGGAAGCATATAAAACTGTGAAACAGAATTCTAAACGTTTTTTTAAAAAGCATTTTACCAAGAGGTGGTGCTTTTCTCCAGTAGCCATCTCGAACTTCAATGTAGTCATACCAACACGAACTGCTTCTATACAGATCCATTGTTGTAAAATTTAGAACAATCTAGGGCACAGATAATAAACAAGCCTTCTGTTAATTTGTTTAAATATCACATTAGTGAAGCGCTCTAAAGTTGTTACAATGATTGAGATCTCATAAGTACCTTACATAAGACATGACTGCACATACTGCACTGAAAATACAACAGTTCGAAGATGTTTCCTTGAAAAAAAAGTCATCATGAAGTACCAGTTTTATAATTCATAAGAGTCAAGTGTTGACATGACCTGACTTAGAGTAGTTTCCCCAGTTAAAGACAAAAGCCTAGAGATATTGTACATAAGAGATCACTTTATTAGCCATATACTGTACAATTTCTTGCATTAGGAATTTGTATTTTCACATGCCCCAGCTTGCTCTCCACACAGACAGAGTGAAGCTTGGGGGTCAGAGAGCAGGGTCAGCCATTGTACAGCACCCCTGGAACAGCTGGGGTTAAGGGCCTTGATCAGGAGCCCAACGCAGCAGGATTACTCTGCCAGCTGTGGGATTTGAACCGGCAACCTTCCAGCCACAGGTGCAGATCCTTAGTCACAGTTTATTTTCAGGCTTATGCTGCCATTACATTAAAGTGACAAAGTAATGAGTCAGATGATCTTTTTTTACTATTCAGACTGGTTTGAAAGAGTTTAATGTCTCTGGGGGAAAATATTTATTATTTTGTGGTATATTTTAGTGGTCTATGAATTTTATCCAATACCAATACAACTTTGATTTAACCCTGGAGATTGAAGATATAGCAAAATATTGAGTAAAGGGGCTCATAAAAGCTCTAGGAGACAAAAAGAAAAGACCAAGAAGACTTTTTGTTCTTGAGTTGCAGACTTCTGTAGGCTTTGGTGAAAGGTGGCATTATGGTGCCTCAGGTTATTTTTTATCAGGGTTCAAAAAACATACTTTAAGCATCATAGCAACATCCATAGTATTGTCATATTATATTTCCAGATCATTGTTCAATATTTTGTCACCAAAGGGTTACAAAGATAATCATACAGTAAAATATTATCCTGAGGAATGTGATGAAAATGATTGAAAATATCTGGTCATCCAGGTTATCTTGCAGAATTGTTTTTTGGGGCCTGTCATGTGTTTAGCAATAGGGTTTCGTAATAAAAAAATATCATCTTGGGGCTCTTTGTGAAATATATGCAGTAAAAAAAGTGCCTTTCAGTGGCTCCTTCTGGCACTGAGATCTAAATATTGCAAATGATGTATAAAAGCCTCTGATAGTGCCAAAAATGTCCCCTGGACAAATTTATCAAGGCAATGATTACGATTGCATAAAATGATTAGACACGACAACAGCATTCTGTCTTTCATTTCCATTTTACCCCTTTAATTTCAATTTTCCAATACAAAATATGAAACACAATATTTAAAACCATGATTTGTTTTTCATGATAAATACATAAAAAGGTAAAATTTCACATAAAATGTTTCAGTCTCGGGTCTTTAGTATTCAAGCCAATTTCATTTGATTGTACCCTTGTTAAATTATTTTGTAGCCCTGTTATTTATGGAAAAGTTTCAGATATTAAAAACATAGTTCATGACTAGATATTCCCTTTTTATTATTTTTAAACTTATAAAATATTATATTTTATACAAAAAGTATCATTACTTCCATTGAATGAAACTGATATAATGTCATGCAACCTAAAACTTGAATGACATTTTGATTTCTAATTTCTGCTTTATTTTTCTTAACTGTGTACAAAGGTAACATATTATGTGACCTTTAATACACCTAGATAAATAGAGGCTTTCTCGTTATTAAATTTGGTTAGATGAAGATATTTGATTAGTGATGGAGATTATTTCAGGGTATTTCCTATTGCTCTATTAATCAAGTGATAAGCTGATTGCTCATTGAGCAGTGTGCAGAGCTTTAATCAAAAACATTTCAATTTTGATCTGAAGATTTTACAGAAAATAAAGAGGGGGTGGGGGGGGTAAATATTATGCAGCCTGCCTTCAAAATGTGCTCCTCACAAAAGTGGCATGACCAAAAAGATACAGCAACCCAAATATCCTGAAGATATAAAATACAAAAAGACATGCTAATTTTTTAGGGGCTTAATCAGGTAGAGTAATTGCCTGCGTTATTGGAGATGAGGAATTGAAAAGGAGCATTTTGCAACTCGGCAGAATCTCTGAGCCAAATAGATGAGGCAGTCTACAGTTCAAGGGGACACTATGGCCCAGTCTCCCAGGAGAGGACAATCAATGGATGTGTGTCAGCAACATTCACAAATTATTGGCTATGCAAGCACATTCTGCAGTGCCACAGAATACCAAATGCAAATAATGCATTGGTTTGGAACTGGAATGGGACAAGAAAGGATTGCTCGGAATGAACAGTTTTGAGCTGTTCCATTTGTCTGCAAGAGTCACATCCAAGGCTGCCGCTGCTGACTGAATGTTGCAATGTCTTTCTGTGAGGAAAGTTAGGCAGACAGGGAAAAGGGCTAATTTGTCAACGAGTACTGGTGAAACCTCAGGTTTCACAACGAAGCGTTCTATTAGAAATATATCATTGTTCTCAATCCTCACAAAATAAAAAAGGACAGAATGCATTCAGCATTTCTCGGGAGTTACAAGGTAGAATACCACCAGCCAGACCTCAAAATGAACGTTTGATTAAAAGTATATGTGAATGTTGCAAATAAATTGATTTTAAAACATCCACCTTTATTCCAAAAAGGACAATGAAGATTTTCTGGAACCCAAAAGAACATTACCAATGCTTTTGGACCTCAGGGAAAATATTGTATTCCGTTTAGACTGATCAGTTACTTTTTCCCTATATATTAACTATCCATCCATCCATTTTCTATCCTGGCAAACAACAGGCACAAGGCAGGATACACCCTGGACAAAGTGCTAGACCATCATAGGGCACACACAAACAATCACTCCAGGGCCAGTTTTCCCAGAAGCCAGTTAACTTACCAGTATAGTCTTTAAACTGTGGGAGGAAACAGCAGCACCTGGCAAAGACCCATGCAAACACTGGAAGATCATACAAACTCCATACAGACAGCACCCCAGGTCTGGAATAGAACCCAGGTCCCCAGCGCTGTGAGGCAGCAATGCTAACCACTGCAACACCCATATTATAATTACTGTTATTCAAAATGGCACTGAATCAGCAATAATGCCAAAAGTGAATTATTCATCTGGCATTATGACCAGCACACAGGTTCTCTCTAATTGGCCTTTTAAGGTCTTTGTGGTATTCTATTTACAACTGCAGAGTTCTGGATTTTCTATATCTATTGAAAACAAAACTTTGAAACCCACTAATTGAATATGTTTGTGTAACTACTGAGTGTGTTAATTATTGTTAATATGTATTGTTTTTGTCAGCCATACTTCTTTCTTCTCTTATTCGTACTGTTTTAACTAACAGTTTAAGACCAAACTCTTCAGCTAACACCTTTGTAATATGCCAGAGAAGTCACTCTGTTTTTGTTTGAAAGATTGTTTTCCATGTCTGGCACATTTCTTTTTTTAATGTGTATACATTCTCTTGATAGCACAATAAATAAAAAACAACAGCTTCTATTTCACAATGTTCAGATTCATTATAATAAATTACAAGAAAACAAAGAGTACATAGCACTGCATAAACAAATGTTGTAAACACTAGCTTTATTTTTCACTAAAAGTTCAGATCACGCCATACCTTTTCCCCAGGTGTAACTGATATTCTCCAAACACAATGAGTATATGAGGGGTATCCATTTGGGAATCCAGGGGAAGAAAAATTACCAGTTGAGTCTTGTAAAGTCTCACCGCAAGCTGTAATACAAACATCAATATACTGTATTTAGTTATCAAGATGCTGTCATCCTTATATGCCATACAATGTTGTTCATGAACAAGTTCAATTTCCATTTATTAGAACATTCACAGCATCAATTATACAGTTTTAATTATTTAAATTCTTATTTTAATTGCAATGTATGCCCTCTTACCCTAATTAAAATTAAAAATGTGTGTTTATCAGTGGTGTATTTGAAATTGACTTCTTCATGTACCATCTTTCTGTTTTCCCAATTAGATATTATTATTACATTATATTATTATATTATTCCACAACACAAGATTGTTGTGCTTTCCTTAATGTCTCAATGGTTCAGAGATATTGTATTATAGACATATCCCAATATAGATATTTTATTTTAGATTAATTACAATATCTCATAATATTGTATTTTATTTTAACAGGATGCTCTTCTGTCTGTGGCACCATGACAAAAACACAGAGTTTTATACAACAGTGAGCTAATTAATTGTGTTCGTAATCCATGGACAGCATTTCCAGACTGAGCTTATTATTAAGTGTGGTGGAAGTTTATTTTGGGAAAAAAAATATCTAGTATCTTTAAGCGACTTGAGGTTAAAAGGATTTCTTTTTATCAAGCAAGCGGGGGATGCAAAAAATCTATTTCCATTTGTTATGAGCATGATTAGTCTAACACTTGAGAGTTTTTCCTGTCAATCACTTTCACCTCTCCTAGGAGATTGATTAATGCTCAACCCTCCTGCTGGGAATCAGCTGCTGCCATTTGCCTTACAATTAATGATGGCTTCATTGAGACCATCACTCAGCAGCCCCCAACCTTCACAGCTTTCAATCAACAAGTGATTTCACCCGGAGAATTAGGGACCTGATCCCGAGCAGAGCCAAGGTGACACTGCAATCACAGCTCAGGCTCTTCCCAATTAAAGAGCATCAACAGTCAGCAGGCAATCAGCAGATAATCATGAGCTTGATAAATTATTAATGATGACAATATCTTCAGATAAAAGGGGGCGAGTGAGGAGGTTTCGTCTGTAAAAAGGAAGACAATGCCTCTTTAAAATGGGAGCTTCCTTGTTAGACTGAATGAGAGATTAGATCTGACAAGCACTGTAAAACAGTGGGGGAGGTTTTCATGCTGAGCACTAAATATGGCACTTCAACATGTGGTGACCCTTCAGGTTAATATAATGATAACTTAATTCTCTAGCAAAAAAAAAGGCACGTGATTGCTTGTACAGCGCAAACTGGAAGGTTAAAAACTATTTTTTCAACAAGAAAGCAACCAATAGCTAATACCTTCATGATGTTTGGATCTGTAGTAAAAGGTAATAATAAAAAACTATTTTATATGGCGCCTTTAAAAGTGGTTTCTCAAGGTGTTTTACAGAAAAACAGTGTACTCCATTTTACTGATTTGTTTGAACATGTGGAAATCATTTTGTGTATGGAAAATCAATGTTGATAAAAAAAAACTCTCAAGCAAAGTGCTGGAAGGTCCAGTCTCTTATCGCATGTTTCTTGTGGAGTTTTTCTGGTACACAAGCAACTTTGCTTCTACTACAGATTTCCAACTGACTGAACCGTTCACTGTGAAATATAATTTTATTCCCCTGCATATAATAATGCTGCTTTCATTATTCCTTTATTTTCCTTTTGCCAACATGGGATTCCAGGTGGCAAAAAACTGCAACTGTCAAATTTGCCAAAAGAAAGTAGGTGTGTGAGTCCCCAGAACCAGTGCTGGGAAACACTGGCTTAAATATTTATTCACTACATTGAATTTCTAAACTTCCTCCCAATCTCACACACATCTGCTTGTCTACGTACAGAATATAAATCTCGCACCCAGGACTTCCATTTGCTTGTGTCTCTCTTGAATCTCCCCTTGCTTCCCCTTCTACTCCCTAACTCATTTCTCACAGCAGTGAGCGGGGGGTTGGGCAGCTTTATGCTCACTTATCCTCACAGCTAGGCTGCCATTCCCTCAGCTGACTGAGTCATGCCAAATAAGCTCTGCATTAAAACCTAACTGAGCTACTGAAGTGCGTGTTGGCGATAAACCAACATTCATACCTATCAGAATCTGCACAGTGCCTGTGCTGTTCTTGTTCACTTGAACTTGCTAACAGTTATGGTATGCATGTCTTTATGATTGCATGGATGTTAGTTAAAGTTTTGTTTTACAAAACCTAATACTGGCAAACATACAGCTTCGAGACAAATTTAACATTGCACAAAACAGAACTCTATCAGCACACGCACTCAGCAAAGCAACAGGGGTGATTGTGTATTATGAAGGGTCTCTCACAAGAAGCCGTGGAAAAACTGCAGAATAGCATGAAACTCCTTGCTGCATATACAGGTAGTTAAAACAAACTGTATGTTGAATGCAAAACACAGAAATGCAAAAAGCCAGATTGAATAAAACAAAGTGTGGGGTCTTTCATGTCATTTCAATTAAAATCTGTATTTTTTTCTGATACTCACATATAAAACAAAGCATTTGCACTGGAAAGGACAAAGGGTCTTTTTTCTAACCTCAAATGAATCAAATAAATCCTTACTAAAATGTAATCCACTCACAGTGACTCCAGAGAAGTATAACGTCATTCTTGTCTTCAAAATTCATTTTGCGACACAATTACATTGTTATAATGTTCCTTACTTATTTTGTGAAAAATCTTTTTGAGGTTAACCATTAATAAAGTACAACAAAGTGCTCTTAAAATACTACACTATTAAAGTACTAAGCATGACAAAGTATGATTGAAATCGACGTTTAAGTTTAGTACTATGTGAGTAGCTAACTGCCAAAATGAATAACTGGTAGTTAGTTTTGTTAGAAGGAAAAAAAATAAAAAGGTACATTTGGCAATCTCCTTAGCAAAGTGAATCAGACTAAAGATGGGTGAGGTGAAATGGCTTTTATAGACCTCTTCATGCAGTGTAGTACTGAACTACCAAAGGAGAGGTCTTTTGTAAAAAATCTAATCTTTCCACATGGCTAGTCTTCTTTTCAATCACAGCTAAGAGTGTCATCAAAATGAAACAATTCAAACCCTTAACATGGTCCTCCAAACCTGTAGTGAGCAGAAATGTGGTCCTTTTTAGTTAAAAAATAATTGTGCCTGGAATCATTAAAACAATTAAAAACTAGAAGAAAAGGCAGAGCGAGGCAGGATTCTAAGAGGAGATCAATGTGCCATCATAACACAATGCCTCAGAACACTTAGACATCTTCTCTTCAATGAAAGTAGAACACTTACATAATACACATGTACATTTGCAGCATTCAGGTTTGGGTATAAGAGTAGTTCCTATCGTTTTGTTAATGTCTGGAAGCAGCCTTTTAAGTGCATTACTACAGTGTACATGTTTGAATGGGTCAAAAAAGAAAAAAGCTTCTGCAATGGGAGAGTTTGTAAAAGGCGGGACTGAAGCCAGGCCACTGACAATTATTTCAGTGCCCTGTGAAGGATTTCAAAGAATCAGCAGCTTTAACAAGTAGCTTATGTTTTAAGGGGGCTGAAAAGGTAAAGTCAAAGTTGACATTAAGTAGCTTATTGACACAGTTTTTGTCAGTTGTGTGCTTGGCAGTACCTGGACATCTATACAGCTTTCTTGCCTGTGCAATGTCTCCTTTGCTTAATCTTGTGCGCTGGCCAATTGCTGGTCTTATTCCATTATCATCACGGGATGGAAGAATTGTGTCCAGAAACATGCCCCTAGAAAACAGAAAAAACCTACATGTATACACTCTTAGATCCTGAACACAATAGCAAAGTAATGCCAGACAGATTACAAACTATATATAAACTAAACAATTACATAAAAA